TGCTCTGAAAGTATAAAGGAGACAGGATTTGTAGGGAAAAGTAATATCTTTTATTAGATCATCCGATATAGTCAGGAAAAAGAGTCAAGCCTTGGGCACACAAAACCTTCTGGAAAACTTGTCTGACTTTTTCAATTACATTGATATTAACTCTACCTGCAAATCCTGCTTTACTTTGGCTACTTCCAGCCACCACGAGCGTTGTCTCTGTAGGTGACCACCTCTCTACATTTGAGGGTTTTTTTCACCCTCATTCTCCCGCAGGTTGCTGGAGTATTTTTTGCTGCTGGGCCAACAAGGTAAGAATAATTACTGTATTTATCACACACTGCTTCCCCTTACTTATTTGTACCTTTTCACTACTTTCAGGCTGTTTTGCCCAAAACCATGAAGCAAAGCTCAGAGCACCCGGAGGCAAACCCTCACTCATGACTCCTGGCCTTTGCTTTAACCACCTGGAAATATTTTCTCCCTTTTAGGCTGAAAGCTGTGAGAAAATGCTGCTGACAATAGCGAAGGAGAACTGCTTAATATCCCTATATATTAGAGGGTCTAAATCCAGGTCTTACATGCAGTCTCACAAATAAGTCTTTAATTTTACTATTGGGAATGTATCACAGCCCTAATAATTTTTATACAGAGGAAAGAGATTAGGAGACATTTTTCTCCTCATATAGATGGATTACTTTGCTCTGTTCTTGACAGTCTCAAAACCTTAAAGAGCCAATGACAAGTTTGCCAAACTCCTTCCAGGAATTATCTAATCTTTAAGTATTTTTCAAAACAAGACAAAATAACACACTGAATGAAAATGTTTCTCTTTTTTTCAGTTGAACTGAAGACTGAAAATGTTCAGTTAATGTTTTTGCCTTAAAAAAAAAATACTGGGGAAAACTGCGCAAATTGCAAGACGTCACATTGCTTCAAAACCAAAGCACTGAAATAGGAATTTTTCTTCATTTATTCCATAGCTGAAACAATTAAGATTTCACACAAATTCTAAGTATTGTTTCAGTCAAATCAAATGGGTATTTTCTGAGAAAAAAAGTCCCAGCAACCAAAACATATGCAATATTTCACCCATGTAATTGCTTTTCTCCAGCGGTGATCTGCCAAAGAGTGATGCTAGGCTATGGGCAAAAAGATCCTACAGGACTGGAGGGCTTCTACAGCAACAGGGCAGAGTCCTGAAAACAGAAAAATCTTATTTTCTGTGTCCAAAAGCTACAAAAGGATATGTTTTGTATAATATTCGTGAAAAAAAAAAGTCGTTGCCTTTACATCTGCTGAGAAAACACTCTTCTTCCTGGTAGTCTCTTTGTGAGCCATGCAAATGGTGCTTTGCAGAGCTAGAGGCAGAGATGTACGGCGGTAACTATTTTTAGACTGCAAACTCTCATGGATTTTAAAAGGGCTTTTGCATATGGAAAGTCAAAAAAAAAAAAGGCAAAGTATTTCAGGAAAAGAATAAAATGATTCATAGACGGTTAGGGAGCAGAAGGGAGGGGTTGGTGCCTTTATCTCCTGTTGACAGGGCTGCTAGCGGGAGCCTCAGCACCCACGGGGAGGGCTCGGTGCACGCCTCCCACCGACCCACGGGGTCCCCTGCCAGCCTCACCGAACAGCTCCAGCCCACCTCCCTCAAGGAGGAGAGGGAAACCCACTACCTCAAAAAACCTGCTCCGTCAGCGGCTTGATGGGACAGTATGGCAGCCTCCGCGCTCATCGAGCTGCCTCCACAGTTGCTCCGCCGCTGCACTCATCGCCTCGCCTGGCCCGTCGGACGCCCGGCGTCAGGCGTATGAATGCGCAAGGAAGAAAGTTTGTGCTCCGAGATGACTCTGATGTGATGACAGATAGTGGCAAACGACACACAAACCCTCTGCAGAGGGCTTTCTGGCTCCCTGCCAAGGCACGCGACGTCTTGATGGGCAAAAAAATCGTGCTCAGAGAACGAGCGTTGAACCCGTTTACATGCAGAGTTGGGCATTTCAAGTCACAGAAAAATTTCTGCGAGCTTCTTTGGTGGCAGAAGCTCAGTGGAGCAAAATCAGCACTGGAGACAAAGATAATCAGACATTGCCTTTAGCTGGTTTTTGATTAACCTTGCTCAGTAGTGGCTGTGGGACTGCCTGGGGAGCTCAGACCTCTGTCCTACCACGTAGCAAAATCTGAGGGCACCTTCTGGAGCTCTTAACACTTCCTCAAACACCCGGGTCACTTTAGACCTATCTGTATACATCACCCAGACAGCAGCAGAGGCATCTGATGACGATTTTATGTTGGCTGATGAAGTCATACATCCTTGCACACTTATTTTACATTTGTCTGCTTCCTCTGAACCACTGTTAACAAGGTGTTTCATTACTCCTGGGGGGTGGAAAATTCCTATGCTTATGTATGTTTATCTCTCTTTTAAAGGGAGATGAAGGGTAACTGTGATGACCCAGGTAAATACTGGCTGCTTAGCCTGGCATTAATCCTAGCAAAATACAGGCAATCGCAACGGAATTCAATTGACTAAGAGCTAAAGAATATGAATATAATTAATGCCAGTCAAAACAGTCTTATGGAAAGTGGATCTTGTCAGACTAACCTGATTGTCATTCTTTGATGAGATTATAGGTTCGCTTGAAAAAGTTGGGTTGAACAGATGTAATATACCTAGACTCCTGAAGGGCATTTAACTTAGTACCGTGAGTGATCTGATTGCAAAAGCAGCAACACACATCAGTAGACTGGAGCATACACGGATTAAGAACCTGCTACCGACATCTCAAGTATTTGTCATTGGGGGAATCATCATCAATAGATGTGTTTCTAGCAAGGCTCGACAGGGACTGACAGCAGCCTCAATACCATTTGACATTTCCAACCAGGATCACGAAGTTAATTTAAAAACAATCAAAAAAATTCTGGATGATACAGAAATTGGTGAACCAGCAAACAGTGGGCAAACAGGACAGCCAAAGCAATCCGGATCACTTAGTAAATGAACACAGCCAAATACAAAGTATGCATGTCTAGGAAGAAATGCGCACAGAATGAACAGCTCAGCTGCACAACCGATCGCCAAATGACCAGGGCAACCGCGGGTGGGAACAAAGAGACCTATTCACCTTCGCTCAGGCAGACAGGAACACATTGCACTTATTTCCAGTGCCCAGATTTTAAAGAAATGAGCAGAAGGGGAGAAAAGAACTGCAAAGAAGAATTCAACTCATTTGAGGAGTTTTAAACAGCCGTTTGCTTAGTTTACCTAAGATGGAAATCAAGTCACCTTTCAATCTGTAAGTACCTTCAACGAGAAAAAGCACCAAGTCCTATACAGCACTTCATTTAGTGGAGCAAAGCATAAAAGTCAATGGCTAGAAGCTGATTTCAGATAGTCAGGCAGGGAATAAAGCACACATGTTCACCAGTGTAATTAACCATGGGAGTCAAGTGTCAGGGTAAGAGGTAGAGCCACTGCCCACCAGAGTCGCCAACTCAGGACTGGAGACCTTCTGAGATATTACTTGAGTCAAATGTAAGTTATGCTTTAGTCAAAGTCAAAAAGATTACTGGGTTCAATATAGGTGATTGAATGAAAGCTGTAGGTTAGCTTATAGACTCTGATGATCATTTTCGGTCTTATACACCTGAAGCTAGGACTCAGCAGGAGTTGAAGTCCACACGATTCCCTTTGTCACACAGTGCTTCCACATGACGTATGAACCACTACTGAATCTAGTGAGAGTGCACGAGTTATGGTAACTCCGGATTTTGGGAGGGGTGGGGGAAGTATTCCAAATTTTGGGATTTCTCTGCACTGAACAATGATGCTTACAGGATTTGCTGGTACCCCTAGGGACCAATGCACAAAAGAAAAACACAATGTAATACGAATAATGGATAATACATCACTGATAGCTGGGGAGAAGAATTATGGAGACTGCTGCTTGCTTTTTGCTCAGATACTGCAACTGCACCTACGTACTGGGGCAGTAGTTGGTTACTGCCTTCTTCCTTCCTGCATAGTCAGCAGAGCTTTGAAGTATTTTGTCTCTTGCAGCTCATGCTAAATTATCTGTGCTTTTCTGCCATTTCAGGATTAGTTCAATTTACTTTGCATGGATCTAGCCTAAGCACCTCAAACTTTAGCTAGCAAAGGGGCAGCTCCCTAGTGTTTATACATGTCAGAAGCATGTTGTATACTTATTTACTTTACTAATTCCAATTTGCTTTTCTATTATTATTTGAGCTGTATTTTTGCCTGTGCTTAAAGTTTAGAGGATATGGGTCCAAGATACTTTGTTCTTATCCAATACCACTCTTCAAGTATCTTGGCGCACCTTAACAGTGAGAAGTTGTAAGTTTAAAGGGGCACAAGAAGTTTTTCACAGAGGGGGTTTCTATTAGATGGAATTTTTCTGCCTGCTTTCTCTCTCCCTGTGGCTGCTAGGTATTGCTGAACTGAGGAAGTTGTTGTCAAGCTTTTTTTTCAGGTTTTATTTGAAGATGAATGGGAGGAGATCTATTTATGCTTCTCACTGAGCTAACAGCAATTTAAGAGATACTGTTCAACATAAAAGACAAATCTATTTCAGTTAAAAGTATGGATGTAACTTTGAATAGTTTCTTTAAGTAACCAAAAAAGGAGTCCCAAAAGGGAATTTGGTTTATAAGCTGCAATATCACTTAAAGAACAAGATAGATAATTAGGTATAAAAGCCTATGTTTGAAATTACTGTGACAAACCACCTGACATTTGCAATTTTGGATTACAAGCACACCCCATCCTGAACACAGCTCACTAGTCTAGGACTCAAGATTCATATGGATGAGTACCAGCAGACAATTTTCCACTGAGCACAGCTACAGGAATTTTGGCTGGAGACAAATTCCAGTGTTTGATTACTACGATCACAACCTTAAAAATGACTAGAACTTAAAACAAACTACCACCCAAACTATTTTTATCACTGACTGACAGTATTATATGGCAGGGGATTATTTACCTGGAATGCTCTCCAATTTTCTACGAAGTTCCTCATTTTCTTGTTGCAATGAAATTACCTCCTGCTCTAGCTCTTGACACCGAGGGCAGTAACCTTCTTCCTCTTCCTCCTCTTCCTCCTCTGGAAGTGTAGAAGATGATGGGTGACCGTGAGATTCAGATGTTGCTGGAGATGTCCATCCACCTAAAGTGTGTACTGGAGAGGTTGAAAGTGGATCCACATCTGCCAAATGGCTAAAATCGTTTACTGATGAGGTGTTCTGAGAAGGGAAACTCCCAGAAAGCAAATAGTTCTGAAGGGAATCGGTAAAAACTCTCAGAAAGGCTGAGGTTTGTTGTTTCTTTTGCATATACTGCATCTCTATGTCTAAAATGTCTGATGTCTGACTATGGACCATTTTCCCAAGCTGACATTGCTCTTGTCTTTCACTATAATTTGGGTTTTCCTGCTTTATACAAGAAATCATGGACTGAGGGTGATTGTTGTCCAGTAGTTTTCCACCACAATTTAAGAGACTTAGAACCCGGCTGCATTGTTGGGCAAAGGCATCCAGAATCATTCGACTCTCTGCAACAAAAGAAAAGATGAATCACAGAAACCTAATGCAAAAGGTTATGCCAGGCAGTAACAGCTAGATGAATGTACACAACTGTTTACAGTAGCATGCATTTTATTTCTGAACACATTAAAATTATGGCTTCTGCTTTAATACTTCTGCAACACTGTGATTTAAAACAATCCCGACTTTGCTTCTATTTTGAGAGTGCCCTTGTGCCCTTGCTGTTAATCAGAAATGCACTGTGATGATAGTCACTGCTTACTGCCATCTTCTTTCAGATGGATTAAGACAGGAAAATGGGGAAGAAAACACAAACTCCATCCAATTTGCTACAAGTAAAAGTTCAAGTAAGTACTTCTCTGGAAGCCTATTTCAAGCTGCTGGTGGGCATTGCCTGTACATATTTGCAGGACTTTGCGCTACACCTTCATCCTATGCCCTGCTCCTCTCCAACAAGGCTTCCAAGCTTTGTTTTTTCTCTCTTACATCTTTGCTGCACTTGCTTGACATTGGGCGTGGGACACTTCACGTGACCCACCTCCAATTCTATGGACTTTGCTTCTGTTTCTTTTGCTTTATGTTCCAGATACGTCCAAGAACAACTCAAGAGTGATAAACGCAAAACCCTCTTCTTGCACCAAACAAAGGCATCAAATGTACAACATGAAGCTGCTCTGGTCAGGGGAGGAATTCTCTCTGTCCTGCTGACCTCCTACGAATTTGTGGGCAGGCCAGTAACACGCAGTGGAGAGCAGTGCAGAGCTCTCCAAGCAGCTCTGGATGTAATCAGGGAACTCTACGTGGGGCTGTGCAGCAGTTTCTGGAGGCAGCAGCTCGGCTCTGGAAGTAGGGTAAGGATGCCATGCTGCACCTAGTCAGCTTGGCCTCTAATGACAGGAGGTGTCACGTCTCAGGGAGCAATAGCAGCTACAACCTAAACCTACATAGCAGGATGGTTCATTTCTGCAGTGTCTATGTATATAGCTCAAGCTGCTGTAACAGTTCTTGGACCCAGATGGAAAATGACCAAAGACCTTTATGGTACGACCTGTTAGGTTCCCCAGTAAAAATAACGCCTTTTAAAAAATTTTTAGCTTATTCGTAGCTGAGTTCCTCTAGGTGTCTAAAAAGATGTAACTAACATTTTGCATGAGATTAAAAAAAAAAAAGACTTGTAGGTTTAAGCGCTGCCAATTTTGGAGAGCTCTTCTCAGGCAGGCTTGACTTTTAGAAAGTGACAAATGCATTTACTTTTGAAAAGGCAAGCTGCTACAGATGCATGAGACTAAGCACCCCAGACCTTAATTTATCTTAACGTCATCACTAGAGATGAAAACATAGCCTCATCACACTGATAATAAGTAAAGAACAAAAATGTTAGGAATTCAGGCCTTTAAGAGGTGGCACTTCTCATGGTGCTCTCCACAATCCAGAAGACACACCTTCTGGTGGAAAATCGACTTCACACTGAAGTTAGTACAGCTGGCCTGAAGAATATTTGAAACAACGCTAATTTGCATTTTTACCATCCTCCAGATCTCTGCACAGAGGGCAGGGCTGAAGCAGCATACAACTGCTTTCGGCCTCGAACGCAGCCGGAGGAGACCTCCCCGGCACAAACCCGAGGATGGACGGGACCTCCCGAGGACTGAACCGCAAGCGCAGGGATGCGAGGCAGCCAGAGTAAGCACAGGCGCGGTGCTGGGTGACGAGGCGGCCAGGGCCAGGCAGAGAGAGCCCACCGGCACGTGAAGGACTGGGGTGGTCCCAAGACCACTCGAAGCACCCTCGCCATCAGCCTCCCGTGCTAACAAGTCACACCACCCCCTTGTAGATGGGCTCGGACGAACCAGAGCAGATTTCTCCAACATCTTTGGTCCAAAATGTTAAGCGATGCCCTCTGTCCACACTACAAACTCAGAAGGGCAGAAAGGCACAGGCACTGCTGCCCACTTTGGAAGTGGGTGCTGGTGGGGTGCCAGGCGCTCTGCAGCCTCCATACCTGCTGTCCCTCCTTACCTTTTACCGCATTAACCCAAGGCCAGCTGTCTTTAACCCTTACGATGCAAGTGCAAAATAACACAGCACAACAGACGTAATATAAATTAAAAGAATGGAACCTCAGTGACATTGCAGCTTTCCAGCTGGGACCTACTGATAAACCAAAAGAAAATCAAGAAACTCAAGCATCACCAACGACCTGAAGTTGGGCTTTCTTTGCCTTATTTCTTTACTTCCCACATTTTCCCTTTAAAATTATTACAGGATGATATTGATTGGAACTTTGCAATCCTACTACAGAGCAGTTTTTTCATTCATTTTAATCCTATAATCCGATTCCAGACCTGAAGTCATATTTACTGTTTGTATTTTAATCATTATGGTCCCTGCTGACAAAACAGTTACTCATTCTTTGCGTATCCTTGTTGCAAGCGGACACAATATGAATGAAACAACTGAAAAGGGATTAGATTAGTGTAAGAGATGTTATTCTAATATTATGGCTTCTCCTAAAATATGGCAAAAAGTAGCCTGACATTTCAAATACCAGTTTTGAAGAATGCTATAATACACACTAACATCAGTAAAGATAAAATTAATGATTAGTTTTGTTGTAAAATTGAATGCATTAGGCACATTCACTGTGATAATAGCTTAAAATGTAACCGAAATTTTAGACAGAAATGACAGTATTGATTTAATCTTCAGTTCAGCATCAGATCTACTACAAAGACACAATAACAGCAATTACTGGTTTTTTTTCTTAACTTTAACCCATACTCAAAAGATATAAAAATGAAAGTCATGACAAGGCAGGGCTATTTTGAAACGCTAGCACAAAAATTCACAAATACTTTTTTTGTGGGTACTGCTGGGCAGCAATAGTGAGGGATGCTCTCAGCACACATTCTGGAAACATCTGGCTCTGTGCTGAAGCGGGTACCACTTTGAAGCGACTTCTTCACCAGTAACTGTACATGTACCCACAGTCTGAACAGTCCTAAATGAGAATGATAACCAAGGTTATCTCTTGTGATGGAGGAAAAATAAAAACAAATGCTGCCCATTTAGCATATATTGTAGAAACTGGGATTTCAGCTTTTACAGACTGACTGTAATTAGAAATGCAAGCACTGTGCAATGTCTAATCACTAAGAAATGACAAAAAGTTGTTTTTATGTGATTACTACTGAATAATCACTGATCTATGATTCTTAATTGACTTAACGTAATGTTTGTATTTTCTAGGAAAGGAGGATTCTATTGAAATGACTGCACCGGACTAAAACAGTGTAAACAGTTTATTAGAGTCTTATTGTGATATTCCTTTTTCTTATTACGATGCTCACCAACCATGTAATTCTAATGTCTCAGACCCCGCAGTCTTCAGTCGTACAGAACTTCTATCGACTTTAACTAGACTTTTGCCTGAAGGTAGACTTGCTGGATCAGGCCCATAAAGTGCTAATATAGCGGGATTAAATTGCTAAAAGTGTAAGTATTCCTAACTAGATTTATCTGAGAGTGCAAGCAACCAGAAGATACTATCATATGGCAAATCAGGTACCAACTCCCAGATACAGCGTTCATCTTTACATCTTTTTCTCATTGATGCTAAACTGTGGGGCTTCTTAACTATCCAACTGCCAAACTAAAACCAGGGTTTTAGTAAGAGCAAACTTCTAAAACTCAACCTGACAACTTACATTTTCTGATGCATCAATGTATCTGGAAAGACTGGCAGGTATAACATCAGCTTTTCCTACACCTGAGGATCTTTTCAATACTTAGACCAGACAGCTTTATTAATAAGGCATTGTGTTGGGTCTCAATGGCTCTGGATTCAGGTCGTGGCTTTTCCATAGTCTCCTTTGTAATCTTGGGCAGCTGGTTTAAAAAGTCATCTTTGTAACTATTGAGTGGGTCTGAATACCATACATTCTTCCTTGCAGGGAATGTATTAATAGGTATTAAATTTTCAGCAAGATTCCAAAGTTCGGGTTCCTTCACAATTTCAATCATCTCGCTCTTCACTTGCAGTGTTTCAGCCCTCTCGCCTGATAGTTTGTATTTCTTGATTCGTTAGATTATTATCACATTAATTCAGATCCTGGGGCAGCAGCTCTGTACCTCCCAAGTGGCTCTGTCCATGCATATAGACTTTGTCATTAAGTTTTTAGATATGAAGGCTGCTGTAAATATCTACGCTTGGGTCACAAAATCGAGAGCATATGACACCTACCATGACTAAGTGATGCTTTATGGGGCATTTTGCATGAAGATCACCGAGACAGTCCAGTGGATGAAGACTAGAAGTGTTTGGCCAGTTCAGTACTGATCTGATAGACCTACTTCCAGATGGGGGTTTCCAGCTTCTTGGTTAAGGCCAAAATAATGATCTTCACCTTCTCTGTTCACTTAAACTTTCTTCTGTCCGGGTGTGATAGAGCTTTATTAACTGGTTGTTAAACATGCCAGGTTGTTGGCACTGGAATAACACCTCTAAGACAGCTCTGCTCTTCTTTCTCTGCTTTCCATGAAAGCCCATCTTAAATTTTAAGGCACGCTATAAAGTCTACATCACGCTTTCCTAAAGAAAAGGAGTTTCTCCGGTGGACTACGACACTGTTTAATGTACCCATTACCAAAGACAAAGATACATGTTGTTTTCATACCAGGAAAATAATCTGAATAGACTAATAGACTTAATATTTTACAGGAGAAAATGGGTATCTGCTGGTGCTTTGAATGCATCCGTTTGTGTGGCTTACTCCGCAGCAGCAGTGGTCAGAGTAACCACTATTCACTAGAGGGGAGAGAGAAGGCTCGCGTTGCACTGCAGCTCCACATTTCTCGTTGTAAGGCGACACTTCTCTTGCAGGATTCTTCCCTACAAGATGGGATCTCAAGCTAGATCTTTCCTCACCATGCTCCAGGGCAGAGAACACCTGCTTCTCCTCCTTCCTCCAACCTCTTCCTGCAATTCTTCTGGAGTCTGGAGGCCAGTCTCTTGGAGAGGGACTGAGGAAGAAACCATTCATTCTTGGCAAGAGCTCTAACCATTAGGAAAAGCTTCAAAAATATGGAAGCATCCTTACTTGTGGCTGCCTTTGAGGTGCCCCCTCTCAAAAGCAAACGTGGTGCTCTGAATCCCAAGGGGCCAGACATGTCACGCCCGAAGATTAAGAATCAACCGCATTAAGCATTTAAGCTGCTAGCCCAGAGTGAGACATCCCAGGAATGGTGTTTTACGAGCCAGCTTGCTCAGTTGCCTGCACAAGTGAAGAGGTGTCAGCAAAAAGAGGGGAATCTCTGAAACTGAACTTAGGAAATGAGTGTCCCTACAAAACTGTGATCTACAGCCCTCCACCCCCTCGATCAAGTAAGCACCCGCCAAGTGCTGCGGGTAAGCTAAGTGGGAAAACTGTGCAAGGCATGGATGGTGACTGTCTGCCTTGTGGAGGACAACTCAGCAGACCTGCAGCTGGATACCTGCTGAGGGAAGGAAGGATCCTTCCCTCCCTATAACACCCACCACTAGGGAGAGGAACCTCTGGCCAAGAGGTGTTCTGGAAAGGGCCCAGCCCGTGCCCCTTGCTGCTGTGGGCAACCCAGGAGCCGGGTGGGCAGAGACCCTGCGGGCGCTGGGCAAAGCACAGGGTGACCGTGCATGGAGCACACGCAAATGCTCCCACTCCTCAGGGGCAAAATCCCAGCTCTGCTTCCCCAGCGGCAGCCTGAGCTATCAAATTGGCTCACACATTTGTTAAGAGGATTTCAAGGCTCTGGATGACGGGATGGAAGTACTTCACATGCATACAGCCTCGAGGTTCCAACTAGCTCACCCTCAACAGCTCCCTGCTCAGCTTACCGGTGCTACGGTTCCGCCAACACAAGGCACATGCTGTCTCTCCATCACCGAGCAGGAAGGACAGGCGCAGAGCTCAGCAAAGCACCCGTACCTCGGGGTTACAGTACCCAGGAGGTCTAAACCTTGCCTCTTGCTTTATCAGCCTCTGGTAACAACTTGTACAAAATCCCCCTTCTGCACACTGTAGCAAGTTTTTTGTTTGTTTTCGCCTGTTCTGTTTTGCTTTGTACTTAAGTTTTAGCTGAGAGAAGGGTATGTTGGGACCCATATAGGAACCTAAAGTAAAAGTAAAGTCTAGATGTGCAGGTGATAGGACGGGGACTTCACAGAACTTCAGTGCACTAAAAGCAGTTCCTTAACTATCTTTTTTTTTTTTTAAGCACAGGACTGAATCAATGACAAACTTTGCAGCCTGCTCTAGCTCCTGGTTACTACAGTCTACAGGGGCAGGAGAAAGTCCAAACTTCTGCTTATCAAAGCCCAGAGGGCTTTGCTCTGAATATGGCCTCGTATATCATCTACCAGACAGCCAAGTGTCTTCCATGGTGTAATCTGCTTCTGTGAAGAAATGCAGGTGTCACGTTTATCGGCAGCATTTTGATTGTGGGCCACCCCCCCCTGGAATACCATCATTTGGGCATTTAAAATAAGAAGTAATTTCAAGAAAAAAGAAAACATGACCTCCTGCCACGGATCACAGGACTATGCATCAGACCCATGAATTTTCAGGCTAATCTATTCAAGTATTAAACTTTTTTGGTAAAGTACTTGAATTATTTGTAACAAGACATGATAAATTCATCCAGCACACGGCTGCTTCTGAGCAAAAACAGGCATTAAAACATAGCCATATATCCTATTAACTAGCATATCTCCCTGTTTAGTAAGGAAATGTCATCACATTTGTTACAAAGGCAAACAGCAACATACCAAAACAGGATCCAATTTTTCTAAATAAATAAATCAATGATGTGTCAAAAATTAACAGATGAGTTAATA